TCAGAATTGAATAGAGTCAGAATTGGGTTATAGAGTCAGAATTGAATAGTCAGAATTGCGTTATAAAGTGAGGTTTGTGTTATAGAGTCAGAGTCAGAATTGCGTTATAGAGTCAGAATTGCATTATAGAGTCAGAATTGTATAGTCAGAATTGCGTTATAGAGTCAGAATTGCTTTATAGAGTCAGAATTGAATATAGTCAGAATTGCGTTATAGAGTCAGAATTGTATAGTCAAAATTGTCTTATAGAGTCAGAATTGCGTTATAGAGTCAGAATTGCATTATAGAGTCTGTATTGAATATAGTCAGAATTGCGTTATAGAGTCAGAATTGCGTTATAAAGACAGAATTGCGCTATAGAGTCAGAATTGCGTTATAGAGTCAGAATTGCATTATAAAGTGAGGTTTGTGTTATAGAGTCAGAATTGCGTTATAGTCAGAATTGCATTATAGAGTCTGTATTGAATATAGTCAGAATTGCGTTATAGAGTCAGAATTGCGCTATAGAGACAGAATTGCGCTATAGAGTCAGAATTGCGCTATAGAGTCAGAATTGCGTTATAGAGTCAGAATTGCGTTATAGAGTCAGAATTGCGTTATAGAGTCAGAGTTGAATAGAGTCAGAATTGCGTGTTATTTTGGCGATCTCCATTGTGAGTGTGCAGTTCCAGCGCAGTGTTTGAGTGTGTGTTGCAGTGTTTGAGTGTGTGTTGCAGTGTTTGAGTGTGTGTTCCTCCACAGGCGTTCGCGGAAGAGCTTCACGCTCGCGTCCGCAGGGACTGGTGGGGTTACAGCGGAGAGGAGGACCTGTCGACCTCTGACCTCCACCGTCTGCGCTACGATGGCATCCGCCCGGCCGCGGGGTATCCCAGCCAACCCGACCACACAGAGAAACTCACCATGTGGAAACTGGCCGACATTCAGGAGAAAACCGGTACGGCAGTGCTGCGCTCCCATTGGCCGCGTGTCTGCTCAGGCCTCGTCCACGCTACCGTTGGCAAACGCTTCGTTTTCTCTCCGCTTTGTCTTCTGGCGACACTGAGATGGCGCATCTATCAATGAAAACGAACCTTTTTGAAAACACTCTTCAAAGTGGATAAATGTGAAAACGCCTTAAATACAGGTGTAAGTTTGGTCATGTGACGCATGTTGTACAAACATTCAAGTATACAGTCACACAAATAAGATGTTCAAATTCAATTAAAATGTATTGGGCATTAAGTGCAGAAATAATCAAAAATTTTAAAAGTAAGTTATGTGAAGTTAAATATAATAGCGACCTGGACCATCAGTGAATGCTGAAATATTCTGCTAAATAAAACGATCCTGACAGAAGAATTGCACGATAACTCTATTATTTATTGTTTAATCTTCTGCGAGGGTTTACGGGGAATTTAGCGTTTTCAGCCGTTTTCCGAAAGTTTCTCTTCCGCACTGAGACGCCTGAAACGCTAGTGTGGACGGAGAGCGCTGTTAAACGGTAACGCCGTTTTCACATGTATCGGGATTACTGTAGACGTGGCCTGAGCTGTGATTGGTCGAACGGTACACACGGCTCACTCACACATCGGCTGCTTTCGTTTGTTTGTGTGATTGTTTGTGTCTTCATGTTCCGCAGGTATCGCTCTGACCGAGTCTCTGGCCATGAGTCCCGCCGCATCCGTGTCCGGCCTCTACTTCTCCAACCCCAAATCCTGTTATTTCGCCGTGGGGAAAGTGACTCGAGAGCAGGTACGAGCCTCGCGGTGAACAGCGGACAGTGTTGAATGACGGACCCTCTGAGTTTGTTTCAGCAGGTCCAAGTGAAAAATTCCCAATTTTTTTTATTTATTTAAATAATTATAATTATTTTCGTAAGACTTTACTTAAAGTTAATGAATTTATTCCTTTAAAACATCATCTTTGATCACCAAACCCCGCCTCCACTCACTCACTCAGAGATCCACTGGTTGGCGATCACACGTTGATCTGATTGGTTACAAACTGGTTTGTGACGTCAGAAACACCAGCGATTTCAAAGCGTGTTTTTGAGACTGTCTTTGGTTCACTGCAGTTTTAAGGAGGAAAGACTCAGTTATCAACTCACTTATCAACTTACACACGGTGTGTGTTAAAGCAGATTAATTACACCACATACACACATAAACGACATTAAAAGCTGTATTTTCACCACAGGTGGAGTTATGTATAATGCATTAATGGGATTCATAATGATCGTTATAATGCATTGTATATTTTCATAAATTATAAACACAGTTAAAATTCATGTTTACATGTAAAATTCATGTTAACAATGCATTATACTTTCTAAAGGTGTTCAATTATTTATTCATGAGATCATACAATGCATTATAAGGTGCGTTACAAAGCATAAATAATGCATTCAAAATTATTTTAGAATGACACATTGCACATTGGGTCATGCACACACTGCAGTGGGACTTTGGTCAAAAATGTGAGACGCAAGAATGTTGCTATGGTTACCAAGCTGTCAATCATCACAAACTCAGTATTGAGGGCTCTCTCTCTCTCACACACACACACACACACACACTCTGTCTCTCGGGCAGGTGGAGGACTACGCGCAGAGGAAGCAGATGACGGTGTGTGAGGTGGAGCGCTGGTTGGGTCCGATCCTGGGCTACGACACCGACTGACGGCTCCAGAACGCTCTCCTGCTGTGACGGACCTCCGCTCGCTCGGTTCTGGTGCTGAACGCCGTCTCTTATCTTCACACTACAGAGGTGCCGTCAGAGCGCCGCTTTTAACTACAGTTCTGTTTTTAACAGAACCGTGACCAACACACTTTATTTTTAGGCCTGGGGGTTTACAGGTTGATTTCTAATGAAACTGTATTAGATTTACAGAAAATAATGGTTAGAAACACAATCTTAACTTAACGACTCGTGCAGATCCTTTAATTATTTCTTTTATTTTCTGATGTCATCATAGAAACGGATCAGTTCTTTTAGACACTGTAAATTCAGTATTAACTTTCTGTGTTTGACTTAATGCTCAAATGTGTGTGTCTGAGGTCCATAAGAGCAAACGCCTAGTTTTAGTGTTAATATTAGAATATAAGAACCGTTATTAGTTTTTACAATTTTTAATTTTAATTTTACAGTTTTCTTGATTTCACACCTGAGAAAAACATTGTGAAAATTTCTGATAAGATGAATGTTGAAAGATGTATTCCTATATTTTCATATAAATCTGCACTAAATCAAAACTCTGTGTTTGTTATGGTTGTAATTGTGTAACTATATTTAGACTAATGAGATTATTAATTGATCATTCAGGTTTCAGATCATCAGGTTTAGTTCACACATTCTCACATTATAACTTTACTCTCATATTTCTATCCTAATTTTATCCTTTTACTTTTAAATGAATCATTTGATAGTGCAATGATAATGTTGTACTTAATTATGTTTAAAAAGATACCTGCCCGTTAATTAAAGACACTAAAATATGAATGTGTAATATTAGCCAGTTCTAGTGTTAGAGTTTAGAAAGAGTTAACACAGTCTATGGAAGGTTCTTCTTTCCATTAATGATTCATGAGTCTGAAGCATATTTTTGTTTTCTTAGTCTAAACCTGTAAGAATTGTAATCATGTATTATAATATCACATTTATAATATCTCAGTTTAGATGGGATGTAATACTAATAGACAACATGAGTGTCACTTTATAGTTGCACTCATTGTGTAAATTCAGTGATTTTATCTTAATATTTCAATAATTTATAAACACTGTTCCCACTTGGTTATTTTTGGGAACCTTGGCTGAACGTTCTGCAGGATATTAAGTTTTAGTTTTACAACCAAATTAAATGTAATTTTTTATTAACAGCGTGTATTATGCAGTTTATTAAAACCTGGTTATGATGAGTCAAAACGCATTATAATTTTCGGATAAATCCAATAACGTCTGTAGTATGAAAAGCATACAGATCATCGTCATACGTGTTTGTTAGTAATGCGCGAGCTCCTGTTTTCCACAGAAAGGCGCGAACTCGCGTAGCAGTAATTTAAACATAACGGTCATTTCGTTTTGCTGACTGACTAACATTACTTTATCGACCTCTTTATGGAATAGTTACTTAAAATTAATATATTATACACGCGATTATCGTGTGATTTCAGAGAGATTTGACACGTCAACAGATAAGTTTTTTTTTGTTTTTTACTGACCAAAAGAGAGAAGAACATCCCGCTAATGCAGTGGTAAGAAATGAATGCAATGTAGTTGTTAGCTAATAATTTTAATGTCTGTGAATAAGATTAATTTAAAAAAAAAAAGTTTTGTATTGAAGCCATTTGGCGCTTAACGTAAAATCAGCTTAGAGTGTAAATCTGTGAATCAGTTAAATTACATATTAATGGACTCGATTAAAAATAATAAAAAAACGAACGTTCCCGGAACATTGTGAATTACAAAAATGTATAGCTGGGCCATAATTTCAACTTTTATTTTTCTAAGTATTATTCTGTCATTAAACAAAAAGTCGAAATTATGACTTTTCGACTTTTTGGGTCATAATTAAGCTTGATTTCTTATTATAGGGTATGCCAGAAATAGGCTTCCATACGATGAACTCGTTTTATATTCATGGACATATTCGTTTACATTCATACCTCAAAATGTTTTAAATGCTGTAATTCTGTCCTGGGGCCAGTTGCATAAACATTAACACTGTGTCTTAAAAACTAGTCTGACCAACAGTCTTACTTTTCGGATTCGAATTAGACCAATCTACCTTTTGTGTGACTGACGAAAAAAAGTTATGACCATGCTTAGGGAAAAACGATGATTAAGTTGTAAGACTAGTCTAAGCAGTTTCTGCAACCGGCCCGGTATGTGTGTGCGCGCTGGCCTGTCTTCGCCAGCAGAGGGCGCCCTGCTGCTGCCGCACGCGCATCTGCATAACCCCGCCCTCTGAGTATGCCAGCCGTCCAATGAGAGCTGGGCAGGAGACACCCGTTACACCCGCATCAGAGCCGCGGTCGCGCGCCTGAGAGCTTCATCTGTCCAGCGAGAGGCTCCGAACCCGCGCCGAACCATGACGGACGGAGAGGCCGAAGATGAGATCCAGTTCTTGCGGACCGTGAGTACACGCGTGTGTGTTTGTGTGCGTGTGTGTTTGTGTGCGCGCGCCGCAGTGGTGCTGATGCTGCGGGAGTCACCGGCATCCGTCCGGATCTGTTGAACGTGGGTGTGAGGAAACTGAGCGTTTATGCAGTGCGTGTGTGTGTGTGTGTGTGTGTCAGCTGCAGTCCTGATGAAGACAGTGTTCAGCTTCACTGCAGACACACAATGTTTACTCTGATGTCATGCTGCATAAATACTGCAGATTGGGTTGAATCAGTCCAGTGCGTATCCGATAGATCGTTATTGATCAATGTGGGAAATGTGGTGCATTAACAGTCAGATGATACAGCAGATCCAGGACCTGCACAATAACACAGAGAGGGGATGATGGATCGGATGCGGACTGTATTGATTGTGAGGTGTTGAGCAGGTGCTGGTGGGTCGTATTATTGGAGGATGCAAACACTGAAGTTAGAGACTGAAAACAGATTCACTGATCAATCTTGATATGGATGCATCATCATCAATACGGCGAGGTCGTATCGCTGGTGCTTCTTTGCATTCCTCAGTGTCGTCAGTGCAGATGTTGTGCAGCGCTGGACTTGGGTTCAGTGGGTCTAGAACCTCCTGCATCAGTTCTGACCGGGTTCGATCCGTTAGTTGTGGTTGCAGCACAGAATCCCCTGATAAAGAGATGGAAGTGTTCATCGGGCAGCACAAACACAGCAGGAAATCATTACCCAGCATTACATGTTGAAAATGGCATTGATTCCCCTCCGCCTGTAACAGCTCAATGCAGCGCGGGCCAGACAGAGCCAAACGCTCTCAGAGCGCTGTATGAGGAAGATGAAGAAGATGCATCTGAATCTCAGGAAGCCTGTCTGGCTCATATTCACCTCAAAATCTCAAAATAATGAACAAAGAAGTCAAAAAAAGATTAAGATTTTTTTTTTTTGCATTGTGACATTATATTTATGATCATATATATGGGTCAATGACGTGACGCCTAAATTTTCTGTCCGACTGCATTTTTTCAGGCAAAAATGGGTTTAAATGCCTAAAAAGATACTGCATATTTGTAGTACCTCTCTCATGTATGTAATCACTTTAACTTTTCAAAAACCTTTTACTTATTTGTTATTATTTTGTTATTTAAAGTGTCAAAACGTCATGTGGTGCGACCGTCCGGCCATAACTTCTTTGAAATTACTCTGAATTAATTCAAATTTATATACTGCACTATTTGGCATGATTTCCAAAATGTTTTGTAATCCTTTAAAAAATTTCTAAGCATTTGCATTTATATTCCCATCATAATATACAAACAAACTTTGTCCGATGATGTCTATTTTATGAAATATCATGTGGTGCGACCATCAAAGAACTACCATTTTGGGACTTATATGTTGAAAACTATTCAAACACAGGAAGTTACATCATAAACCAATTTACCAAGGACCCATGAAAGCAGCAAGCAGGTTTGTAATTCTCTCAAATTGGAAAAAAAAATAAACCTTAGTAATGGTTGGTATGTAGTTGCCAAATTTGGATGTCATGTGGTATGACCTCAAAAAAATTTAATATTAAAGTTATTTCTACAAATATATATTTTTAATATAAATTTCATAGTGACCTTTTTTGTCAAGCTAGCTTGTTTTGTTTTGGTGGCCATTTCTGTGCCTGTAAATTATGAATGAATTTGAAAATGTCATGTGGTGCGACCAAATATCATGTGGTGCGACCACTGCAGACTGTTTTCAATGATAGATATATGTCCTAGATTGGCAGTTTTATGCTTTTATATTCAATCGACGGTTTATTTTAAAAAAGTACTTTACTTTAGTATCATTTGGAAAAGATTTTTATGCAATTTGTGATTTTTTTTAAATATATTTCAGACAGTTTATGTTCACACTTTGTACAACATGTGAAAAATGCACACACAAAAAATAGAGCATGTAATTTCAGTTTAGTAATACTGCATTTATTTGTAGTGTATTTATTATTGCATTATATTTATTTATTTAAAACTATTTTAATCTATTTTACCAGATGCCACTGCCTGCCAAGCGAAAAAATTCTTACCCTGCAGCAAGAGCGGAGTAGAGAAGAAGAGTGAAATATTATTAGTTTAAAATATCTAGTTTATATGTGAATATATAGTAAACTTTAATTTATTCCTGTGATCAAAGCTGATTTTTCAGCATCATTACTCCAGTCTTCAGTGTCACATGATCCTTCAGAAATCATTCTAACATGTAACCCTAGACCACAAAACCACTCAATGGGTCAATGTCATATGGGTCACATCCATCACACATTTTTTTTAAATTGAGATTTATACATCATATGAAAGCTGAATAAATAAGCTTTCTATTGATGTATGATATGTTTAGATAGAACAATATTTGGCCGATACAACTGAAAATCTAGAATCTGAGGGTGCTACAAAGTCGAAACATTGAGAAAATCGCCTTTAAGGTTGTCCATTTATGTTTGCAATATTGCTATATTCACTCACAAAAATAAATGTTTATACATTTCTGTCAGGACATTTACAAAATATAAAACATCTTTATTTAATATATATATATATATATATATATATATATATATATATATATATATATATATATATAACATTATTATTTGTTAGAAAGAAATTCTAAGTCAAGTTAAATTAAATGGTGCACTTGTGTTTGTGATGTGATTTTTATAAAAAAAAGTTTATTAAATGTTAATGTTCAGGAAAATTCTTTGAAATTTGTATAAAATCTGGTTTAAATCTTTTTTTTGTATAAAATGTATTGTTCATTGATCTCTTTAAATAGATTTTTAACTATATAAGGTCTTCGTGTCATTTGGAGCGACCACTTGTCATGTGGTGCGACCAATAAAAGCAATCACTGTATTAAATAAATAAAACAAATATTTTATTTCTGTGGCTGAAATATGAATCACAGATATAGTATGCTTCAGGAAATTAGATTTTTAAAACATTTCTATCAGTTTAATGTGATTTATAGGAAAAATAAGTCTGTTAACTAGATTTAAGAAGGCAACTCAGAAATTGTAGAACAAAAAATGAGATCATTATTTACAAAAACTCAAAAGAATTGCAAATACTTCGTTTCTAAACACTTTACTTACTAAGAACTTGTAAAATAATGTTTAAGCATGTTAAGGAAATTAATAAATTTTGAGATAAATCACGGTCGCACCACATGACATTTTTTAAGGCTACGGACAATTCATCTAGATGAAAAAACACTAAAATCACTTAAATTCAATTTTTAAAATGAATTTAGGTGTACACAACATCCTTAATGTTTGAACAATTGCAACAGATATTATTATTTTTAGTATTTTAAAATTGACCAGTGGAAAATCCTTATACGTCATTGACCCATATATATATATATATATATATGTATATATGCATACACTACTGTTCAAAAGTTTGTGGTCTCTGCTCACCAAAGCTGACTTTATTTGATCAAAAATACAGTAAAACAGTGAAATATTATTCCTGTTTTCTACATGAATATACAGTAAAGTGTAATTTATCCCTGTGATCAAAGCTGAATTTATCATCATTACTCCAGTCTTCAGTGTCACATGACCCTTCACAAATCACTCTAATATGAGGATCTGATGATCAAGACACAGTTATGATTATTATCAGTGTTGAACACAGGTCAGCTGATTCAGATTTTATTATTCAGGATTCTTTGATGAATAGGAAGTTCAAAAGAACATCATTTATGTGATATAGTGTCCTTCCATGTCAAATCCACACAATAAAGACAAACATAAATGGTGACGAAAGCCAAAATATGAAATATCATGAATGTTTATCAAGATTATTTATTACATTATTTATTCTTCAGTTATTGTGCTTTAAACACAACAGTATCAGCTGTTTTTAAAGTTTTTAGTAAAATTCAACAAATTGAACATGCAGTATCCCATATCTATGTGAATGAACCATATAGGACATTAAAGTGAAGATTTCAAAATAAAAGTTTGTTAAAAACATGTTGAGAAATCTCTAAGACGTCTTGAGTTACAGGGAGGCAAACTATAACGTCACCGTAATATAGAGGATCACAGATTGCTAAAGTCAACAAATTAGCTGACAGGCCTGATCTCTAACACTGATGTAGTGAAGCTGCTGTGTGTTTACAGCCACGCAGATCTCAGGCCTTCTGACAAATATACACACATGACATCTAACTCAGTTCATCAGTATTTGCTGTGATGCAATAAGATGAACTGAAGCGTAATGCATTCAGATGGACTGTTTAATGAGGATGAACCTGAAACATGTTCAATAGTTCTGAACAGATTATCCTCATTTTCTCTTGGCAGCGTATAGTAGTTTCTCTGAGCCGCACATGTTTGCGTGAGACGTGTCTGATGTAATCTTACAGGCCGGAGTCCTGCAGTGTAACCTGGGAAAGAGATTCTGTAACCGCAGCATCAAGCCGCCTCGCTTCTCTCCTCTGTCTCTCTCTCCACACAACATTCAAATTTGATAAGATTCTCCTGTTACATAAGCGGCGCTGTCTCTCTCTCTCTCCTGTCTCTCTCTCTCTGTGTGTGTGTGAGCGTCTGAGCGAGTTGCGGTGTGTTTGTGAGTTGTTACTTTTCCTTTTCTCTTTATTTAGTTTGGATAATTTGGTTTAGTGTTCATTTTAATGTCGTCAAGGGTGGAAAATGGGGCCAAATTCAGATGGTTGTGTTTCTTTAACCGCTCAAACGTCTACCTGATGAGTCCATAACAGTTGAGGATCGTCTAGTTGAGATCAGTAGTGAAATTGGTGCTTGCAGCGTTGTGTCTGTACTGCGCCGGGAGTGCACGTCTCTAGGATAGAGTCGGGAAATATCGAGCCGCTCCGGCCGAATGAGCTCTTGGCACCCAGAGTTGTCATCCAGTCTCCTTGGTAGAGAGAGAGAGAGAGAGAGAGATGAGGAAAACAAACAAGGATGCTAATTGAAATTATCACAGCGGGA